ATATAGCAGCTACATTTAGTTGGAAAAGTAGTAGCAAGCTAAGTTGCAACAATATACAGTTTTAATGTGGCAAGCAACTTAATTAAACCAACTGAATGGCAGTAAAAGCAGCCAGCCAATCTCGCACACAAAACTAAGTATATACTAATATTTTTTTCATTACTTTACTTATTGTAGAGCTATGTATGTAAAATATAACTTCTCGTGAGTGTCGGCTTTGTACAGTCTACTGAAAGCAACAAAATGTAGAGCAAGGTAACAATGCCAAACAAAAGTCTAATTTATAACAAAAACTAAATATTTTATTTAGATAAAAGATATAACTGATATTACTAAAAAATAACAAAAAAGCAAAATAATAATTACAAAAAAATATTTTTATTATTTTTCTATGTAAAATTCAGTGGAATTTCAATTGACAGTCATGAACATATACAATATAAGCCGAGCTTCGGCATCACTTGCTAATGTGAGTCTCAATATTATTCCACAAATAAATAATCAACAAGTACAGACAGCGTTAGTTCAGCAAAAACCCCCTACAAGCACAGTGACAGTCACCTGACCTGTAATATGACAGTCACAGCTGAAAAAATATTGTTAGCGCGCAGAACAAAGTTTCTATCATTTTTTTAAGAGCCTTGTGCAAAAACTGATGTAAACAAATGCATGTGTGTGATTTTGCATCTCTCTCAAACACATGTATATTCGGTATTTATTCACTATATATGTATCTATACTGCTCACTCTCATGCCTTTTCTTGAGACATTGCTGATCATAAATCCATCATAGCTAAAAATTGTCAGTTATGACTGTAAATCTATCACAAATGAAAAATTCTTTTGCGCCGTAGATAATATAATTTTTATTTCTTTAATAAATTCAAAACTTTTAATCAAAATTCTTTATAATAATATTTACAAATATAAAAAGGAATGCAACAAAAATTATAATTAAATAATAAATTATGAAAATAAATTTTCACTTGCTGTCATCTCCTCCTCCCTCTCAATAGCTCTGCGTACGTCAGTATATATTTCTGAATTTAAAAATGCAAGCGAAAATTAACTATATATATAGTTTTATTTGAAACTTATTTAACTTACGTATGTATGCACATTAAGACCAGAAAGTTATGTTTGAAAACTCCTCTCTTTCATAAAAATGTATATTTTTAGCACAAAACCCAAAAGAGTTTTGCACAAATGTTTGCAATACTTTTCGTTTGTGGCAAGAACAGTAAAATTTGTTTTGTACATTTGTTGAGAAACTTATATGGAATTTTATGCATCCCTTTTTTGACAGGGTTGCTTTTGCGCAAAGAGATAAGTGTTAAAGAATGATGATGATGAGTGTTGATAAACTTTTTTTTTTTTTGACAACTAACAACATTGAGTCATTTTAATATTCATTAGACTGTCAGAGGTGACAGTACTAAAGTATTCAGCTATTTTATTCATACACATGTAAGCAATATAATTCGAAATTGTCTCTGTTTAACAATAACAGTGACGGTCAGTTGGCAAGTAAACTGTCCGTCACGACTGACATAAATGTCAGTGTATTGTTGAACCCATTAGCAGTTTCTGTAGAGCCGCTTTTGGTCCGATAAAATCTAGTCAACTTCAGCATGACATTAATCATTTTATTGCTTGTTTCTAACTACTTTTTCAAACCTACTAGTCCAACACGCTTACTTTCATAATAAAATTCCGTCGAGCGGTTTCGGCAACAGCGTAAGTTAAGCACAATTAGTTTAGGCAGAATCTTATTGAAATAACTGTTATTTTCCAACCTAAAATATTTGAGTACTGCATGTATTTTCGTTTCTAAACTCAACTAAACTTTACTTTCTAGTTGCTTCCTTAATTATTTTCGTTTAATTATTTTCACTCTTCCTGTATTTTATTCAAATTGGCTTAAGTAAATTGCGAATATGTGACCAATAACGGAAATCATTTGATTGATATTGATAGATATAGTTATGGATATGAAAGCATATTGTCTTGTAGAGTATATTTTGCTGTTCAGCTTTAACCAGTTAACTTTTCTCAAACAACCCACAGCTTAAAACTGTTCAAGCAATCAATCATATCTGAAAGCATAAACACGACCTTGCCTACTCATTCAAGCACTGAAAGCTTCATTAAATTCCCGTTGAGTTGCAATCGTTGTACAAGTATAGTCTACACCATATAATTTGGCATGCCATATGTTGCAATACAGTAAGCAAAGAAACAATGTCAATAATGGACTGACTGCAGACAATTGCGAATAAAAGGCGGTAGGAACTATGGCTGAAAACACACTACCCTGTCTAAAGTGGGTGTACATCTGTAAATATGCGTGCGATTGCATAAGCATATTGGCGAAATCTGTATCTATTTTTAGCTGCCGCCTACTTGAACGCAAAACCACTTATTACAGCGAAAGTGTATAACTGGCAGCCGGGGAATGCATCTGGCGAAAGTAAACACTGACAGTGACGGCAGCGAGGGGAGTGAAAAGAAACGACAATGTGGCACTCAACTTATCAGGAACAGTAAAATGGCACTTATATACGCGTATGTATGAAAACACCTACTTCCTGAGAATGTGTACAACGCACGTCGTGCAGAATTTTTCCGCTACAATTCCATACATACTTTTTTCGTGAAATAAAAGAAGCAGTGCAACCAACTGGGACACACACCAGTGCCAATGTGCACTTACTGTTGTTTGCGGTACGGGTGGCTACTGTGAACAAGTGCCTAAAATGATAAGTCTCAAGCAAAGGTCAATGGTGTTTTTGCCACTTATCTACGCAGTTCCGTGCCATTACAGTCACAAAAATGCCGCAACACAGCGCAGAAAATGCACTTGTCTTAATTTTATCAGCTGCTACTGACACCGCTGTAACAAGCTTTCTCCTTTTATTAGTGCCTAGGTAAATACCGTGAGTGAGTGCTCTTCCATAACCATTGCGTTGCCTTAAGCCGCTTACTAACCTTCACTCAACACCGTTATTTTGTATACTATATATCAATTCGTCGTGTCTTTTTATATCATCATCATGATTCTAGTCGCTTTTATCTCCTTAGACACAGTCAGCTTTTTGCTTTGTTCAAATTACTATAGTTTTTTGTTTGATCAACGCAATTATTGCCGGCTACCGCCCCACTACGAGTATCTTGTCATCCAAATCAAAGCATAGTCAGCTAACTGACCAACTACTTCAATGGTACGTCAACAAATTGTTGGTCGCCACCTCCGCCAGTTGTTGCATTAGTTTAGTTCTACTTATGTAGCTTTGGACTGCAGTGCGTTTGATATTTGATGCGATTGCCGGTCTTGCAACTAGTCGGGCTTTTTTTCTTTTTATTTCTTTATTTATTCTTTATTTTCACCCCTACATTTGAAATGCACCCTTTTCTCTATTCTCTATATTCATATATTCTTACATTTCTTTGCTTTCTTGTGAAAGGTCGGAAATGGAAAATTTTCGTTCTTCCGTTGTTGCCGTCGACATCGTTTTTTTTTTACGAACGTAAATATGTACATACTTTGCAGCGTAGGATTTTTTATATTTCAACACTTTTGACGTTTCCAATATTTTTTACCATTTTTTTTTCACATGCATGTTCGCTTGCAGCTTTGTATAAAAATAGCTTTTCCAGCATTTAATTAAACTTTCATTCTGGGTACATCAAAAGCGCTGGCTGTCGGCGAAATTAATCGAAAATCGCAATAACAGGCAGTGCTCACGTACAATATGGTCGCACAAATACATATATTATATATAATATAAGATGTCAATTAGCAGACCGAAGGAAAATTAAATTGTGTGTCTGATGATTTTGTTTTTTTAATTAACTTAGAGGTAAAAGAGCGATAATATAAATATATATATTTTATTACTATGCTCTTATAAAAATATATATATTCATATATTTCGTTGTATATATTATATTGAGCAAGAACGTTAACATGGGTTGCACCGAAGCTATAATACCCTTCATAGGTGTATTTCTCATAGCAACTTTATATCCAAATATACCGTTTTTACTAGCCACATTGTTTGGTATAAATATTCCTCAAATCGAACTAAGATTATTTAATAATGAAAAAGTATATTTTAATAAACTTAAACTTTTAAACTATATGCTATAGTGGTCCGAAATAGGGTTCATACTAATGGATGGATTTCACATGGACAGATGTTCGTCTTTTGTGTTACCCATAAACGCTTAAAAGTAGATCACCAAATTCTTATAGATTGACGAAGCGCATTGAGCTTACCACAAATTTGTTAAAGCGGTTAATATTCATTCCAGCCACTTCGCTGGGTTCGCTGAAGATGGCAATAGTGGAGAAAGTGACAAGATTATTCATCTCGCCTTCCTCCATACGGTTTTGGTAAAGAGCTTCGGACAAAATATTAAGCCACACCGCGTGTGAACCTATTCGACAGTGTCCAGTCAGAACACCTCTTACAGTTCACTAAAGGATCTTGCAGTCGCACAAGTTCTGATTGTTGACCAAAGCACTGGACAATAATTTGTACCAAATGTCCTGAAGATATCTTGTCAAATAAACTGCTATAGGGTTCCGATCTGAACAATATATTCGAAGATTGTAGCTTTATCTTGGGCACCAATCCATGGCAAATTTCGTGAAGATATTTTGTCAAATAAAAAAGTTTTCCGTACAAGGACTTGATTCTGATCGTTCTTGCTACTTGGAGAGAAAAGAACGTGTACACAATTTCATATCGATATCTTTCAAACTAAGTGGCAAGTTCGCGTATATACAGACGAATAGACAGACACAGCTAAACCGACTCAGCTCGTCACGTTAATAATTAATATGCACACATACATACAAGTATATACGTAATAAAGTATCGGACGTATCCTTCTGGATGCTATAAACTTTATGGCAAACTCAAATTACTAATCTCAGCCCAATCTTTGCAAAGAATTATCAAATTATTATTTTTATATTGACAGAGCGTACTCCTACCTTATATCTCAATCTCAGCGATTAACTCTTACTCTACACACTTCGTTGAATCGCTAAACTCATCAATCAATAAACTACCTAGTGTTAATAACGCGCTGATTCACCGACGACTATACGCTGTTTCGGCCTCATACAAATGTTTTTATGTACATATTGAGTATGTAGGAATATTACGATTTGCAATTATCTTTCGCAATTCAGCGAACAGCACCAGCTGTTTAAGTACTTAATCAGTGAAGCCGGTTAAGTGCAAAAGTAAATAGTATTGACGTTTATATATAATACTATACATATATCCACGGTTTATTACTTTGCTCCGTTGTTTGCTAAATATTAAAATATTGTTGACACAATACTAGATTAACGGAGTAGGAATTGTAAAAAAAGACGTTCAGATAAGCGTGGCAATTTGTATATAAATAGATAACTCAGAAAGGGAATGATTGCTGTGACATTGTTATATATAACATGTAGCTATATCAGCTTCGATTCGTCAAACCTTAGAGCGCAGCGAATCGAACAAATAATTGGTATAAATCATATAAACTGGCAGAATCAGAGCAATGTAGCACATATCCAGGCGAAGCAAAATAATAAAAATACAGCAGATCTAAACAATGACTTTGAACAACCGTAAAAGAGGTCACACTTGGCAGTCACTGGCGAACGGAGCGACATTTGTTTTTTTTTAATTCCAACTTTCCGTGGACGATAAACCAGTTCGAGGTCCAAGAGAATCTGTTGCGGACAAATAATTCAACATATTGTCAACCGGAAATAGAAACAAGGAAACAAAAACTTTTGTATTACAGACCCATACAAAATTAATAACATTAGGAGTAGACTTTGAGATAATGTTTCAGTTGTGAAACCATATAAACAACAAAAAACAAATCTAGCATGCAATTTAATTCACATGTATACAAATAAATCAAGAGTTAATCGTCCTTTTTCCTTTCAGCCTGAATGAATCATGTGGATTGTGAGTTGTGGATGCTAAACAGCTGTAATACACACCAGTGCAATACATATGACCGTTTCAAAATATGTATGTTTGTTTGTACATACACAATTTACCACAGCATTGAACCACCTTGCGGAAAATTGATTTTTCACCGATTCTTCAGACATAGTTTTCCATCAAAAATACGCTTAGATAAATATAACACAGACTATTTTCCAACAATGCACTTACCGCAAATAAAGTACTTAAAAATGTCTGCCACACGCTGAGTAACGAATTTTTGGAATAATTAATTAAGCTAACACTGCACTAAAATAGTAACTGATTTTTTAAGCAAACACTTGCCAAATAACAGTTTGTTTTACTCTTTCCCAGTCTTTCAAGCTTTCTAAGCACTTTTTACGTCTTTTGCAATGTTTCATTAACTACTCTTTTATTTTTGGCTGCAAATTAGCTTTGCTTTATAATGAAAACACACTTATTTTTTCCTAAAACGTTTGCTTGTGTTGCGTAGCGCGTAGCCGGAGTGGACGGGCAGGCGAGAAAACTTCGTCTGATTTCAAAGACGACAGGAAAATTCACTTATTCATCGTCCATGGAAATCGTCCAGTTGAAAGTCTGATAGAAATCGTTTTTGTTGTTTTATTGCATGCGCCTGCGAAACGCAACACAACTTATCGCTACCACTAGCGCGCAAGTACCAGCTTCGTTTGTACCTCCTCAAATTTTCCAATTACACAAATGCGCCCCTCTTCTAAAAATCTTGTTATATTTTGTTTTTCCCTTGCACAACCAGCTGATTGGAAAATTCTGCCGATAATTTTGTAGTTTTGTTTTAGTTCTTGTGATTCATCATAAACGATTTGGGGTGACAGATGCGAATGAGCGAAATGGAGAGAATGTCAAAAAGAACACAAACTGGAGAATGAAAATTAAAACTGTGTTGCCAGAAAGCCATTAAAGAAATTTATAATTATTTTTAATAAAATAAAAATTTAAAAAAGTATAACTTTAATCTAAACTGAAAGGTATAGTAGTTTTAATGTTCATGTGTTTTACAATACTAAAAATATTAACTTACATTTTGTTTCATAGATAGTTGACATAATACCTAGTAACTAGTTAAGTTTATTAAAAACTTCTTGGCGCATTTTTGAAAAATTATAGAGTAGAGATCCCGTTACTATATATTTACAAATTATATATATTTATATAATACGTATATTTCTAAATATTTAGTAGAAATTTAGATCTCCCTAATGAACACTCAATTAAGTATATTTGAATGTATTCGCATATTTATTTATTCATATTTTCTAAATGAGTAGTTGTTCAGAAACTACAAAAAAAAAACGCGTTTGACAGTGAATATGTACGGAAATATTCAAGTTTCTTCACAATTGTTTTGTGACACTTGTTTTATAAGTTATATGCCACAAAACATTTAAAGCTTAAACAACAAAACCATTGACAGGGTACATATAAACGCTTGAGCTACTTAATATTTTTGGTTCCTCTTTACTTCTTAGCAGCAGCAGCAAAACGATCGGAAATGTCCTTCCAGTTGGCAATATCCCAAATAGCCTCAACATATGAAGGGCGCACATTTTTGTATTGTAAATAGTAGGCATGCTCCCAAACATCAATACCGAAGAGTGGCACAAGACCTATAAAACACAAAAGCATGTATATTTAACATCAAATATACATATATTGTCTCACGTCATACCTGTGCTACCTTCCAATGGGTCTTGGTTGGGCAAAGCAGCCAGTTGCAGTTGATTAGTTTTCTTGTTGTAACCTAACCAACCCCAGCCAGAACCTTGTACGGCAACAGTTAATGTAGTCAACTCCTTTTTCATCGACTCCAAACTGCCGAATTGCGCTTCAATAGCACACTTCAAATCGTTGGAAGGCTGCGATTTTTCCGGCGATAAGTTATGCCAGAAAATCGAGTGATTAATATGACCGCCACCATTGAAACGCAATGCAGGTGCAAGCGAAATAATCTTGGTCACATCTTTCTTCTGCTGTGCCTCGGCAAGTTGCACTTCAGCGGCGTTCAAATTGTTTACATAAGTTTGGTGATGTTTTTGATGGTGCAATTCCATAATTTCACGGCAAATGATGGGCTCCAAAGCTGCATAATCGTAGGGCAACTTGGGCAAATCATGCTTGCAGCGCACAGCTGTCCTGTGGTGATTAAGGAAATTGAAATAATATTATTTATAAAATGGTTTGCAACTTGCGTTTAATTCTGCCGGCTTTATGTAATCAATAACTTATGGGAGACCCTTTAGGGCAGCAGCAGTAATATGCTAGTTGTTCTTACAACAGATACTTACTTTGCGGCATTTGAGACGGTACGTGTTAGAGAAAACATTTTGAACTATTTGCCAGACGACAAAAACTGCAAAGAGAATTTAATTTAATTATAATATAAAATATATTCGTATTTTTACATTACCTTTCCAGAAGTGCACTGTTGTCAGCTGTCAAACGAGAAGTACCGCTACGAAAATAAGCAAAACAGAATAGAGGTTGAAAGGAAACGGCATTGCCAACAGCATTGTACAATTTTTCCACTACGGATGTGAAAGTAAATAGAACAGAACGGAACTGCTGTGAAGTGTATATATATTTTATTAAAAATATATATTTCTGTAACCAAATGTGACTTTAATATAAGTTAATATGCTAAACGTTGTTTTGCATTGAAAATTTTGGTGGAAAATATGTTAATTGCCTTTTTTTCCAAATATTATTGTGCTGCTGGTGGCGGTGCTCTGAAGCCTTTGAACTTGACATTTTTGACAAACATATAATATATGTATATTACATATATGTACATTATTATTAAATGGTGAGTCAAATGAACTAGTGGTGTTTTGTCTTATTAAAATTGGAAAATATCAAAAGTTTATGCCTTTCTTCTTTAAATTATAATAAATAAATAATGCACAAGCATAAGCACAACTCATAAATTTTAATGAGTTAGCTATTCAAAGTTGGCTTAAGTACATGTGTGTAGTGCATTATTGCCTATTGCTTACCTGGCTTTCGTAATATCGGTAATTCATATATTAAACATCTAACTTTTGACTGCAATCAATTGTTTAAAAAATTGCCTTGAGTAAAACGGCAATCAAGAAAAGGGTTCACTTAACAGTTTATAACTGTGAAGACATATTTCTAGTTTACACCAGCACCTTAAATTTATGAGTAGTATAACTGAGCTATATGTTACGCTTTATTAAGTAGAGTACAATTTATTTTATTACGTTGCCAAATAAGATGAAGCTTTTAAAATTATGTTAAATTTATTATTTATTATGTCAAAAACAACTACATTTTCACGTATTTTAATACATATCTTTATTATAGCCTTTAAAATATGCTCCTAAGTCAATGTAAGCATGCCAAAATTTAACCCATTTGTTAATAGACCACGACTGGTATGGCCTTCAGTGCCTTCAGTGAATTTCGGTTTTCTCGGTTTCGGATCATTTTTGGAGGGACATTTTTTTGACAATATAACGCTTAAGTAGACCAGTCCGGGTCAAATTTGATCAGATAGTATAAAAAGTATACGCTTATACCTCCTTTTTGTTGGAACACTGTGAAATATTGTAACAAATTTCACTGACGGCTAAGAATTCACATAGGTTATGCTTAATCGTCCTAAGATGCCCAGTGACGACCCTTATCATAAGGCTGAGTCTATCCTGAATAAATGTATAAATTTTTTATCTGATTATTATCCAAACTTCCAAGATCTGAGGTTTTTCTCTTGCGTCCATTGCTTAAAGCAGCCTTTGTAGGAGTTAAACAGTCTTGGTCAGCCTATGGCGACCGTGTTCCGAACGAGTCAAACTCGCATAAAGACATATAACTATTTTAAAATAGTTAATGCTGTACTGATTTATTCGCTTTAATTCAAGTATTTTTAGTTAACAAGCGCATGACATAGATACATATTTACAGCAACATATCTATGCCATCTGTCAATCCCTTCTAAAGTGTAATTTTCGGCGCCTACAATGACACTCAGCCGCTGGTTGTTCTGCTCATCTTTTGCAACCTTGCGATCACACAATTATAAAAACATGCATACATATGTACATGTAAGTAATTGTACAAAAATATATACAAATATCCGCCTCACACTCATAATCAGCTTGAACACATGTTTTATAGCCGCGCTTCATAACAGCTTTTAAACACTTTGACTCGTTGACTTAGTAAAAGGTAAACAAGCAAAGGAGTGAGCGGTTCGCGGTTGGTGGTTGCTGCTTAGCGGCTGTCGCCACAATAAATACGTTGATAATGAACATGAATAAAAGTCGCAGGTTGTGTCTACCAATTATGTTGCGCACAACATTAACAACAACAACAACAATAGCAATCACAACAGCAAGTGCAGCAAGAGCGCAGCTAACAGCAGACCCTTGACTGCAATTACCGTTATTTGTATAGCATATACGTATGTATGTATGTATATATGTGCATATATGGTATTTCTGCGCACATGTTTATCATGTATGTATGTATGTTTGTCCGCATGCTTGCAATTCTTTTTGGCTTTTTGCTATACCGCATACTCATACATACATAAATACACACACATATATAAATAGTATGTAGTTGCATATTTTGGTGAATGCACTTGGCGCATTAAAAATAAATTATAAATAAATACAAATCTAATTTGTGTTCTTGCGAACAAAGCGCCGCAACAATGGACCCAACCAAATAGAGAATGGCTTTGACTGCATTAATACTTGTATTATTAATGAAGCTTGCGTGCTGCTGGTCAGTAGCATAGACGTGTCTTACCAAATTGATTATGATTGTTTGATTACTAACAATTTTCGAATGATTTATATTACTAATTAGTGATTATTGCATAACTCCTAATTATTAAAGATAACGGCCTTACAGACTTGCGCTGCACGTTATTATTAAATAAATTAAGTTAGGTAAGATAAGTTGTATTCAGCATAGAAATGAAAGGATAAAGTCGATTGTAATATTATTAATGAAAACAAGAAAAAAAGTTAACTTTGCTGCACCGAAGCTAAAATACCCTTCACAAGTGCATTTTTTATAGCATAAAAGGGTATAAAAGTAACATTTTCTTGATTGTTATCGGAGAGTTTGTGGGACAACAGAAATGTACAGAAATCTTAACACCTGATCAGAAATTGATATTGAGAAATCATCATTATCTGCACAGTCGAACCTACGTTATGTGGATTATATCTGACTAAGCTGTCGGGTGTTTTCTTACTGCAAACATAGCCCCCTTGTTTCTGTTTTAGCTTTTTAATAGCTTATATGCTGCCACATCGATCTTGATAACTCGCCAAAGTGTCACAGGCACAGAAAGCCGATCAGTTGAATATTAAGACACTTGATAGCAATCGAGTTGATTAGGTCATCAATTCAATGGCAGTACAACCAATTATACAGTGGTCAAGAAAACAAGTTCGACAGCTAAACAATATTCATTTCAAATAATAAAATAATTTGGCATAAACAGGAATAGGTAGTAATCACCTGGTGTCAGGTCCGGACTATGAGGTGGATGCATAAGAAACTCTCGACCAAACTCCCGGAGCTTCTGACGAGTCACTATCGATGTGTGTGACCTAGCGTTGTCATGATGGAATACAATTCCGCTGCTATTGACCAAGGCTGGCCACTTCTGACCGATCGTTTGCAGTCTCATTGCTCCACCTTGTTCGGCTGATGAGAGATAGCCTAGCGATGATGTATATCCCTGAACCATGGCGAACTACAAAGGTAATCTTCATACCTAAAGTAGGAAGACAAAATCCTTTAAGCCAATTAGTCTTACTTCGTTCCTACTAAAAAGCATGGTAAAGAATATAGATCACCATATTAGGTCGAAGGCGCTGAAAGTCGCACCTTTACATCCGAATCAGCTTGCTGGTTGGAATAATACTGCTCTGTACCAGCTAACCGCGGAAATTCAAAGTTCGCTGGACAATGAAGAGGTGACGTTATGCACTTTCTTAGACATGAAAGTGTGCGCCTCATGCAGGTCTAGCAAAAGAACTAGAGAAAAGGAATATGGCAGCACCAGCACGCAAGTGGATAGAAGCCGTACTGCGCACTAGGATAGCTTAGACCACTGTATCTGATACAAAGACTCGTCTCGGCACGACAACAGGTTGCGCGCAGGGTGGAGTATTATTCCCCCTATTATGGAGCCTAGTCGTGGATGAGCTTCTTTAGCTGGGTTCCGTTTTCAAGTGTCAACATCATACCGCCGAAAACGACCATCGTGCCGTTTACCGAAAGGAGGCTCTTGCTGGACCTTAGGAGCTTATCCCTTCGCGGCAGAGAGTTAGAATGATTTATGACTTCAGAAAGAAGTTTAAACTTATCCTTGGCAGTAAGGCTAAATGGAGTAACTCTACGCTTGACCTACTGGTAAGGAATAGCACTATTAAGTGATACAGTGACGACTCGAAAACGTCGGAAGTTTTTTTTACTATACCTTATACTATATAAAGTCCATACATGTTTTCGATTACTTATGTCCACTTCTAATGTGTTGGTGCAGTCGAAGAAATTTTTAGGTACGATCACCAGAGCGAATGAGTTGAGTTCACGACAGTAATAATCCTGAAATCGAATACAAGTTTATAGCCTATTTGAAGGAAATTAAACTCCGTAGGTGTGACTAACTAATGGCATTGAAACTGGATTTCTAATTATTTTCGATTTTTATACTTTGTTGTTGTTTTAAGCGCCTAACAGTTTGCCAAATATGTAATTATATATGGTATATGCTTGTACTTACATACATGAGGGTGCGGGCGTTGCGAGCGAAGGTCGTCTTTCGTCCCTTTTACATACATACAAGTACATATGCATATATCTTGCAATTATCAGCTGCTGATTGATATTTATGTAGACTCCGACCGCCGACTTTTGCCAAAAATAGCAACGGCAAAAAAAAATAGAAAATCGCAATAATTGAATTTTGCAGTGATGCCATATGTATGCGCACAAAAGTATGCACACGTTCACTTTTGAGTTTTTTTTCGAAATTTTTATGTTAAAAAATTGTAATAATAATAATAAAAAAAAACATTAATAATTACTTATGAACGATCTCTTGCAATTGTAATCATGTAATCTATCATTTCCGTGATTTTGGAATTTGATCGAAAATTATTTTATGAAAAAAAAAATTCACACGTTTATCAAAAATGTGCTTTTAAGTTTCCTTATTATATGTACATATGTATGTATGTAGTTGCACGGCGCATCTGCGTGCCGATTCGTGCTGCGATCGCCATCTGCTGATTAATACTCATATCGCAAGCGATCGTGGCGAATTGGTTTATTTGATCGCTTGTAAATTTGCGCACATTAACAGCCAATTTGATGGAGGGACGCGGCGCAGGCTCAGCATTCAACCCACATACATTACATATGTACATATGTATATACTTAACATATATTATACATATGTATATACATTCCTATATGCTCTGTAGTAATTTGTTAAATTGCCCATCAATTCATTTGGGTTTCGAGTACTCGTACGAGTAAAGTTTTAACACGTGAAGCGATAAAAGTGCAGCGATAGTGAATGTTCGTGGAAGACGTGCATGCCA